ACCTAACTGAACAACAATTGAACAACATTATTTTTAACATGCTGTATCATAAATGTGCATTTATTATTGACCAGTTGGAACTAGCAACTTAATGCACATTTGATGTTTGTACTGTTAGGCATCTTTCTCCAGCTCTCTCCAGGTTGATGTACTGCTTGGCTGGCTAGCTGTTCAATGGTTACCTCTTATTGTGTAATTTAGATGAAAATATGTGCCTTTTTTATCATTTGAGTCACTTTGCAAAAGTTGCCAAAAACTTTTTAAAAATAGCTAAATTTGTTGCTAGGTGCTTTTTGAAAAAAAAGTTGCTAGGGTAGTTTGAAAAGTTGCTAAATCTAGCAACTTGCGTAATTTAGATGAAAATATGTGCCCTTTTTATCATTTGAGTCACTTTGCAAAAGTTGCCAAAAACTTTTTAAAAATAGCTAAATTTGTTGCTAGGTGCTTTTTGAAAAAAAAGTTGCTAGGGTAGTTTGAAAAGTTGCTAAATCTAGCAACAAAATTGCTAAGTTGGCAACACTGAACACGGACACACACAGCACCCCCAACCGAAAACATCTTCCCGCCCCTGGTGTAGGTTAAGGTTAAGCTCAGCTTTGCCGCCATACTTTTCTTTAAGAAAAAGCAAAATTGTGGGTTGAGGCATTACAATGAAAGTGATCGGGTCAAATGTGTAATATTAGTCTTACACTGAAATAATTTTTGATGGCCAATGCAGATATCTTAGAGAGCAGGGTGTATATAAAACCAATATATATGATATCACACTATTTAATTTAAAGACAGTAAAAACACATTCATAGCTGAAATGAAATATATTCCTATAATAATAAAAAAAGTAGAAATATGAAAAAAAATAACTTTACAAAAAATTAATCTGTAAAAAACATTCATTTAGATTTTTTTTTTTTTTAGAACTTTGTGATTCTGTAATAATTACAAATAAAAAGAATGTTAAAAATGTATAAAAGGAGGTAAACACTGTAACCAACAGTGCAGTCAGTAATCTTGTCAGTCTTTGTGCACTGGGAATTGTCTGAAGCCAATAATGAAAAATCTTAAATATCAACCTCTAATTAAAGTGATAGTTCACCCAAAAAATGATGTTTTATTAACAAAATTCGTGAGGAGAATGTTCAGATAATCAACTAATTAAGCACAGTAGGGATGTAACGATATGAAAATTTCTTATCACGATTATAGTGACCAAAATTATCACGGTTATCAGTATTATCACGGTATTGTTCAAATGTGCTGGAGATGTTCAAAAAGTACAGACACGTAAATCACTTCACCAAGTTTTATTTTTAAAAATCAGCACAAAACAAATAAAATGACTTTTTGTTTGCATAATCACTAAAACGAAACCTCCCAGCTTTTCCGCCCTGTTTTCACTCAAAACGAAACTACTCTGCGTGCTGTGCGCACGTGAGACTGTTACTTAAAACTGTGCTTTATGCTGGACAGTATTTATTTATCGTGAGTTGTTCAAATTATACTAACTAATACTAACCGTGGGGAATTTTATCATGATTTATCGTCAAACCGGTAATCGTTACATCCCTAAAGCACAGGTGGCGCTCATTCAGATAATCAACTTAATTGCCCCACAACAGTTTTCTGACATCCCTTCTCCACCCCAACCCCTCACTCCTAGCTATTCTTATCCTAGTTTGGGGATATTTTGGAGGAGTTCTTTGGGTTCGGGTTAAATTCCAAGCTCGAAGCTCTCCCTTCAGACAGCACGGCAAATTTGCATATCGTTCGCTCAATCGGATTATTGGTAAGTGCGAACTCGTGAATGAAAATTTGTTGTTAATTTACTCACCCCCAGGCCATCCAAAAAGTAGGTGTTTTTTTTTTCTTCAGTAGAACAGTAAAGAAGATTTTTAGGTGAAACTGTTGTCTTTGGCGATTCATACACTACGATATGACATTTTTGCCTGTGTTTGGCCCAAGTGTTCAAGTGAGCATGAAGACCACAAGTGGTTGTAGAACTTTTTATTACTTGATGGGACATACTTAGTGTTGCAAAAATGCAAGCATTTACAGAGCTTTATTTTTTTTCAATACTTTACATTTTAAAATAATCTTAAATGTCTGTTCAGTAGTCCCTATAACAAATGACATGATTTAATTTGTGGTGCTTCTAAATAAGTGATGCAAATGTAAAATAAATCTACTAATCTTTGCACCAATAAAACGTGCAACACTTTGTTTTACTACCAAATTATAATATCTAATTATTATTTAACTTGCATAGGAAAGGTTTCTGTGACCTCTCACGAGATCTCAATTTATTTCCAGAACATGATGCATGGTGGGATACACTAAGCCTCGAATACCACTCTGGAGCGTGGAGTGTGGATTTATGGTGCGTTAAGGGCACTGCGCTTTGGCGTTTTAAGACCTGAGACAGTCTTGTGCACTTGCTTCCTGTCGCGTGCACATGCTTTCAAGTGGCCAAGACCGCAAGTGTGGGTAGTTGGACAGGGCGCATGTCTCAAGAGCCCTCGGTATCGAGGCTTGTGGTTGTGCTGCTGCTGCCGCCTCTGCTGCTTCCTCCATCTGTCTCAGTTCTCAGGTGTGTCCCAAGGCTCGAAATTGCGACCATTTTGGTCGCATATGCTCCCATAATTTAGTCTGTGCAACCTTAAAATATATTTGGGAGCATTTGTGCGAGTGCATATAATTGCTGTAGTGCGACCTGTTTTCATTTCTCTAAAAACGTTCACAGTTATGTGCCTTCTGTGTGCTGATACGGTGACCTGCCTGCCGTTCTATCAAACGTTACATAACTTCATCTTTACATTCTTAAATTAAATGCAGATTTTAGATTGGTTAGTATTAGCTGTCAGTCACTCAGTCACTGCTTTCCGCTGTCAGGTGACAGCTAGCTAACTACAGTGGGAAATGCAAAGGGCTGAAGAAGAGAGAAAATTACTGTAAAAGAAACACTGACAGTTTTCTTTTGTAAACCACCTGAAGTTACAAATAATGGTGCTGGTGATAGCGATCATGTGGTGAATGTTGATCCACCAGCCGAAAAGATCAGTTTTCGGAGAGAATGGTTGAAAGACTTTGAGTGGCTCCGCTATGAAAATGCACTGTGCTCTATGCACTGCATTCACTTTAAAGTAGGGGTGTAACGATTTACTCG